TTGTTTATTTTGATTTGTGTTGTTTAGTACTTTTCTTATCGACACAGACAATGCCGAGCTATAGCGACAGTTCTTCTGAAGAACCGCAAATGGACATGTTACAGTGGTCGGGATTTGGAGATTTTGGGATTTCAGAGAAGTGTTTTTGTGGTCGGGATATGATCCTTAAATCAATGACTGGTGATACGACAGCAACACCTGGCCGTAGGTATTACACTTGTCCATTCTGGTTGAAGGAGGTAAGTAGCTTGAATATTTGTCATAAGTTTTGTTAAAATATCCTTTTGTTAATCTTTTGTTAATTGTTGTGATACTTAATGTATGAGATTGGCCTGATGTATGTAGGGGAGTCGAGAACATATCTGGAAATGGTGGGATGAGGCTGTTACAGAGGAATTGGAACGGTTGAAGATTGATCTTGAGAACCATAAGGAGAAATTGCAAAGGCTTGGCAGGGATCAAGCTTTTGATCCTCGTCTCACGCGTTTGGAGAATCGTTTCCAGTCATTGGAGAGGTCTATGGAATGCAATGACTTGGTCGGAGACATTAGGGAAATGAAAGATGAGATAAGCCGTCTTCAAGGAGACTTTGTTTGGATGACGGAGCAAAGCGCCAGAGGAGACCACTACTTGATGCTGGCGTTGCTGTTCGTGTTTGCAGCCATTGCATATATGTTAAGTACAAGTCAGTTTCCTTATGTTTAGTACTAAGGAATGTTGAAGTACAAAGTAATGTTCCCTTAAGTCGAATGGTAGACTTCTATTATATTGTTGGTAGATTTGTTATAATTAATAGCTTTCGAGTAGTAGACTTATTTGTAAAAGACTTGTCATATTCCCTTATTTCAATTACAATCGAACGAATGGTAGACACATAAATCTACTTAACACAGCATAAATAGATTTCCTGCCTCCAAGCACCGTGTGAAGAATGCACCCACCCTTCCATGTTGATCCCACTTCCACGGCGCGATAAAGTTGATTAAATCAACATTCCTAAGAAAACCCGCTTCGTTAGAGATGTTGTTAAGTGTTTTTGACGAAACTTTTGCAAGACAAAGATCCTCATACGAGTTTGAAGAGATTTTTAACATAATCTCGTACAAAAGATCATAAGGGAGCGAGTTAATGTTCATATGATTCGTCATAGGAAAATCGGCATGGAAAATGAAACTTCTCGGTTGTGGTATTTATAGAGAACTTGCAGTACTTTAAATCGATGCAACGGTCGGAGATAACGGTTTCACATAATCGTTACCAAAAGTCTACCAGAGGGACGAAACTAGAAAGACGTACAACACTGCAACCATAAGTCTACCAAACGGTAGGTTTTTTAGTAGTTAGGACAATACTTTTAGGACAAAAAAGTAATTTCAATCCATAAAGTCAAAAGTCTGCCAAACATTAACAACTAAGTCTACCTCAAGCATGAAAAATAACTCTACCATATAAACAAGTCTACCATAAGCACATCATATGTCTACCAGATCAAGGTTATCTTTGTAAATACCAAACTTAATAAATCTACCACATGATTATTATAAGAAGTCTACCATACGTACGATAACTCTACTAGATTAGATAAACTCTACCAAACAAACAAACAAATCTACCAACATTATGTAAGTCTACTTCATGTAATAAATAATCTACCACTAACCGGAAGAAAATTTAATTTGAATTTAAATCTACCACAAAACAAATAAATCTACCAACATTTTGTAAGTCTACCTTATGTAACAAATAATCTACCACTCACCGGATTGAATTTTACTTGAATTAAATCTACCACAAAACAAACATATCTACCACAAAAGCGAAAAATCTACTAACTAGATATAACTCTACCATAAAACAGATATATCTACCGTCACGTATTGACAACTTTTTTCACATAAGTCTACCAACTCAGAAAATAAATCTACCGCCAAAGGACATAAGTCTACCAACTCAGAAAATAAATCTACTTCATTATCAATAAATCTACCGAGAAAGTCAACTATGCGAGAAAGTCAACACTTTCTTTAACAAGTCTACCAACACTTTTGACAAGTCTGTCATTCATAATAACAAATCTACCGAAATATAATAAATCTACCTCTCATCGTCAAAACTCTACCAAGATAAGTCTACCAACATTTGTAAACTCTACCAACTCTCGAATAAATCTACCATCGACCTAATAACTCTACCGACAAAATTTTTGCGTTGACCAAAATTTGATAAGTCTACCGTCAAAGTTTGGTAGACTTATTAAATTATCAGCGCAATAATCTGCCTACGTGACACTAAAAAAGTAATGGCATTTTTGTAATTAGGTTTTTTTCAACAAAGGCAAAAAGGGTGTTTTGAGTATGCTAGGTTAGTTTTGTAAAAAAAATAAAAGTGTGCCAAACAAATAATATAGATACTTTCTAAGGTTAGTGTAGTAATCTTCCGTATATATTAATCCATGTTTACATGATCATGGTGTAATACATTGGAAAGGAAATATGGAACATAATAATGATACACATAAGAGACTTGGTGAGACATTGGGTGTTTGGATAAGGCATCAGCAGCTTTATTTCCTTCTCTTTTTGTCCAACTAAATTGAACTTTTTCAAATTGTTGCTGCCAATATTTAACTTCACGTAGCCAATTGTAAAGACCAAAGTTTAACCTTTTACCAAGTAAAAGCTCCCAAACACTTTGATTATCCCCTTCAAAGATAATTTTCTTCAAACCTCTACTCCAACAATGCTGCATCGCAATTATTAGTGCTTGGAATTCGCTTTCAATAGCTTTTGATACTTTGTTCCCTTGAGCTTGACCTGATCCTTGATATGTGCCTTTGTCATCCCTTATTATCCATCCTGATCTAGCCGGAGTGTCACTATTCTGGAACGACCCATCATAGTTACACTTTATAAAGCCCTTTGGTGGTTTTTTCCAACGACTTGATCTTGCTTCACTCCTTGAAGAACTCCCATTTTTTGGTTGCATTGGTGGAAACTGTTGATCAATATTTATCCATTCAGCTGAATCTTGTTTGGCCAGTCGAAGTGTTTGCCTCCAAGAAATTTGCGTTCGTTGGTATATCAAGGTTTTCTGCTTTTCCATATCCTCCAGAGAATCCATAATGGCAGGTGTTTGAATTGTGAGAGATTCATTTGAGTATTACAGGACAAACAGATCTCTAACTTCTCCTCAAGACTTTTTGTTGGGTCAGTAAGTATTGGATTTGATATGCCAGATCCTCTCCATATCATTTGAGCATAGTGGCAGTCAAAAAAGAGATGTTTAGTCGTCTCTTCCTCCTGACAGCAGCGTTTACATACCGAGTCTGGACTAATATGTCGTCTTTTAAGTGATTCTCCAGTGCCGAAGGCCCTTGATAACATTCTCCAAAGAAAATGTTTAATCTTAGGAGCTGTTAACAGTTTCCAAATTTTGTGCTTCAATGAAACATTTCCTTCTGGCGCTTGTGGTGGTTCATTTTCTGGTAAGTGGGTGCTTAGCCAATACCCAGACTTAACCGTGTATAAACCATCTTCAGTATAATGCCACCCTAAGAGATCTCGTTTTGCAGTTGGGCTAATTTTTAGTGACAAAATGTGTTCAACATCAGCTTCTTGGAAAACTTCTCTTAACATTTCTTCATTCCATCCTCCTCGTCCTCTATTGAACAGTTGATCCATAGTAATGCTTTCATCAATCTCAGTTCTTGCCAATGGTGGTCTAGGTGGATGAGTGGGTAACCAAGGATCCCTCCAAATGTTGATAACTGAGCCATCACCAATTAAAAACCGTAATCCTCGCGATAATAGCTCTTTACCTTGTAACAAAGATTTCCATCCATAAGAAGATTTCCTCTTTCTCGTTGCAGTCAGAATGTTTCCATCTTCAAAATATCTGCCTCTTAAAACCTTAGCTGCCAGGCAATTAGGATTCTGCAAATACCACCATACTTGTTTTGCAAGTAAAGCATTGTTAAAACTCTAGTCCCCCTTCTCTTTTTGGCAGGCTCAATCGCTTCCATGAAAACCAGTGCATTCCTTTTTTATCTATGGGTTTGCTCCACCAAAATCTTGCCAAAATACCATTGATTTCCTGACAGATATTCTTTGGTATTTTGAAAACATTCATTGAAAAAATTGGCATTGCTAACGCCACTAACTTGAGCAATTTCTCCTTTCCTCCTTGAGATAGAAAGTTTTACTCCATCCTTGAGTTCTTTCTTTCACCTTATCCGTTATGTACTGGAACATCTCACTCTTCTTGGAGCCAAATTGTTCAGACAGTCCTAAATATTTGCCATTGCCTCCATCATTGTGAATACCCAATATATTCCTCATAAGAGTTTTAGTAGTAGCACTGACCCTGCTTCCGAAAGTGATGGCTGATTTATTCAGATTCATTCACTGCTTGCCCTAATACAGACTCATATAACACAAGATTCTTTTTGATGGTGTTGCAGGATCTAACATTTGCCAATGTGAAAAATAAGGAGTCATCTGTAAATAAATAGAAGATGATTTATCATCGGACTCCTTGTACTGATCTTGATACCCTGAAGTCTTCTTTCACTCATTTCTCTGTTTCATCAAATGGGAAAGCACTTCTGCACAAAGGATGAAAATATAAGGGGATAAAGGATCCCCTTGACGGATGCCTCTTGTTGGAATGATTAATTCATGTGCTTGTCCATTGATCAAGACTGAGAATCTCATTGTAGTAACACACATCATGATCCAGTTGATCTATGTTTGGTGAATTCCATATGTTTCATTGTCTCAGCCACAAACCGCCACTCTAGTCGATCATAGGCTTTAGTAATATCAGTCTTTATCGCCATATACGATTTAAACTGTCTTTTTTTTTTCAGCTTCATGTTTTTGTTTATATTTAAATTCAGTTTGATTATTATAAGAGTGGTTAGCAACTAGCTAGTAGCTACTAGCTAGCGGCATAAAATAATAAAATTTAGTAAATCTTGTAATATAGAAACTTACCCATGAGTTTTCCCCTAAGCAAATCATGCTTGAATTATTTTCATTACAAAAAAATCTATCAACTATTTATTTTCTTAAGCTTTCTAAACCCTAAACATCTTTCTCCGTATTTGAGTATTTTACCCTATCCCTAAAATTATAGGGAAGTTATATCTTTTGCAAGAATAATCACATTTTCTTTAACAAAAAAAAAAGAATAATCACATTTTGTGAATCTTGTCCTCCTTTATATAGCCAGCGTTCCACAACTCACACTGATCTCATTATCCTCAGTTCAATAACTCATCTATCCTTCTCTTAGGCTCTGCAATATTCGAAGAGCCAACCAAAATTTGATCAGACAATATATACATTATTGTTGCTTTAGAAACTGTTTTTATTTTTATTTTTAATTTTTTTTTGAACTTTTCATTAGCTTTAGAAATTGTGAGTAAAAACCTTACTTTTATTAGTAATTGTTCGGCGTGTGCAAGCCAAGAACTCTTCCCAGCTTTGTCGTTTGAGTTCATGTTTATCCTCTTCCGAGAGCTCAAAGTTTGGTTCCCTTCCACACATGAAGGCAGCTCTAGAGGTAACAAGTAAAAACTGTCAATGGCATTGACATTGTTGAATTAAACATTTAAGAATCTGATAAAAAATAATTATTCACCTGTCGTATAAACGAGCAGCTTCTTCTTGTGAAGAGAATGTGCCCAAGTGGATCTGTCGTTTCTCGACTTTAATGGCGGCTTGCCATTTCATGTTCTTGTAGTAGACTCCTCTCATCAAACATGGTTCTTGGTTTTGTACTTCCTTTCTTCTATGCCGCTTTCTGCGTTTCAGCGGCTGGTCTGTAAATGAGAGATAAAAGAATATGGAATAATTGGTCAACTTTTATTCATCTTGGACACTACAAGCTTAATGGAGTTGGTGAGAAATCAGACCTGCAGAACATGTGTTTTGCTCCCATTTTGGTGAGATGGAACCAGAATCATCCGGTGAGATATCTGAGAAATCAGACTTGAAATGCATAGATTTTGACCGAGTTCTTTCGCTCAGGGAGCCTGATCCTTCTTCAATAAGCGTCTTCTGCCAAACCAAAAGAAGTATGGCTCAATTGCTAGAAATATAATGTGCTTCATTGGTCAATAAAATCCACCTACAGAAGCTTAAATGGAGAACATGTTGTATCTCTTCTTACTGACTTCAGGATTCAGATATATGAAACTCCTAAAGTAATGCTAAAGCGAGATGATACCACATTGCTACACCTTGCATTCATTCAAGTCTTACCAATCATAGATCAGAAATGAGAACATCAAAATTTTATTTATTGATCTATAAACCACTCAAATCGCTATAACCAAACATTAGATATATCTTCAAAACTTCGAAAAACTTTGACGAAATATAGCAGACGAGTACAAGCAGATAGTTGAGAGTAACTTATATGTATTTCTCTTTCACTTTCTCTTGACAAGAGTAGAAATATAAAACTAGCTAAAGAATACGGTGAAATGTTCTTCTTACCTCCTCGTGTTTAACCATTTCTGATAGCTCGGGATTAGGCTTTGGAATCCCAGTGATCATCTCCTCAGCAGTTAGAAAAGGAAGGGGTGTCACATAACCATTCGGTCCTGCAGATATAAAACGAATGAAAACTAGTTGAAAACTTTGCATTGTGCTAGAATATTGGACCACATAGCATAGTCAAAAACATATTTTTACCACAACAAAGTCCCAATAACCTGCGCCTTCTTAAGCTCACCATAATTGGCTTTTGAAATGTTTTACTTCTCTCCTATAAACCACATCAAAGCACTGATCAAGCTCACAGAAACATAGTTCCATAGATGAATGCTTTCAACTATAACGCTAAATCACAAACACAGAAACCAGACAAATGTACATATGTCGAAGGAGCGTAACTTAAAGCAAAACACTGACCAGTTCAAGAAACAGAAACATAGTTCCGTAGAGAAATGCTTACATCCTTAACACAAAAAACAAATTTTAGAAGCATAGAAGCTGTAAAACAAGTGATTACTAGAAAGTATTAAGACGAGCTAAGTAAAATTCCACAAAAATTACCAACTTTGAGACCACAAACGGCAAAAGTTAACAAAAATATCCAAAAGTCAAGAGAACTATCATCAAACCCATCAAGTAAGTGAACATATATATCGATTTTAATCTGTGATTGATGAGGTTTTAAATTGTGGATGAAAATGGACATTTCGACTAATCAATGAATAAGGAAGTAACTTTATAAAGGCCGAAGACTTTTTATCCAAATCAAGTCAACCTTTCAATGAGAAACCAAACCTACCACCACCACCTTTTTCATGGATTCACAAACAGGAAAACAACGCGGCGAAAATAAAATAGCCTCAAGAAGAAACCAATCTCAGAAGAGAACAAACAAAAGAAGCCAAAATTCAGGATTAGCCTCTGCAGAAACAAAATCAACCACCTACATGTAAAAAGCAGAAAACTAAACAGACTCATTGTATAGAAACTCATCAGAAACAAACCCATTGCATCAAAATCAAAGCTTGAGGGGAAAAAAAACAGAGACAGGTTCAGGGGAAGAAAACCGGAGAATATCTTCAGAAAAGAAAGGAAAATTTGAGCGGAAGAGGAAACAATAGCGACACCTTCTTTAAGACAAAAAAGGAAGAAGGTGGTAAGTGACAGCAAGGTCTTATATAGTTCTGGATTTTTTTTGTTTTTTGGTTACAGAAGAGAAGAAAAAAAAAAAGAGAAGAGTTTATTGTGGTTTTAGTTGTGGTGGTGTTTGAAGCTCATGCATCTACCACCTTTGCCCTCTGGTTGGTAAACGCTGGGGAGAGAAGATGGAAAATTAAATATTTTGACAAAATATTTATTATGATATAGGAATAGATAAATGCTAGAAATTATGGAAGATAAATACTAAAATTAAAAAGCCCATGACGTTTGGAAAAGTTGAATCCACGAAGAGAACGTGTGATTCTTCTCAAACTTTTTATTTCCATTTCTTCCCCACCTTTCTGCATTCCGACCCTGCCCCTTTTCCCTCTATCTTGGACTCTGGAGTTATATAATATATAGGGAGAGTTTCAGATTTAACCATCAAACACAAAACTAATCTTTTTTTTTTCTCTCCAACTTTTGCCATTTTCTCACAATTTTATCCTTCTCACTTAAACTATTAACGAAAATGTTATTATACATCTAATAATTTGATTTTTCTTTAATTGGCTAAAGTCTTCTTAGACCTTCTAAAGACCTTTTAATTACGAGAATGCTATCGTCTTCAATACCTTCAACCACCATGAACAACCATGAAAATGGAATAAATGCTTATCAACCAATTTTAAAGCTGTAATAAAACAAATATCTGAGCTCATTCACTCATAACCTTGCTCATTCTTCATAATTTCTTCTCCAAAACATCTGGGCAAAGTTACAATGCTTCGCGCCATGCTTTTTCGGTGAATTCTGGTGTACTCGACACCTGGGTTGTTTAATTTCGGTGAAATCCTAAGTTCTGGGTGGATAAGAGAAACTTAGGGGAGCTCAATTTTGTTAAAGATAATCCTCGCACTTCAATTTCTCCACATTTCAGTTTTTATATCGCGAAAGTAGACTTCTCGTGAACTATACTGAAGTCTATGAGTCAACATAAGGTTATTTTTGCAATTGACTTTTAAAAAGTAGACTTCATTAAACCTCAAGAGAAGTCTACTCGATATCCTTTGAAAACAAAAAAAAGCATAGTAGACTTCATTTGAAGGCTTAAGAAGTCTACGAAAAAGATGTTATTTTTGTAGTTGACCGTATTTTAACTTTTGGATTTAGACTTCATTATGAAGTCTACTGTTTTCGTCTGCATACGAAGTCTACTTTCAAGTTACTTTTGTAGTTTGACCAAAAACGTATAGGTCATTTTTGTGTTTGACTTCTGTTTTTCAAAAATTAAAAAAATTTAAAAAATTCCAAAAAGCTTCAGTAGACTTCACAAAGAAGTCTACTTATTGTGTTTGGTCAAACTTAGAAGGAATATTTTTTTGAGTAGACTTCATTGTGAAGTCTACTAAAAAAATTCAATTGCAAAAATAACCTATTTTGTTCCGTAGACTTTTATTTAAAAAGTAGACTTCAAAAGTAGACTGTCAGAGAAGTCTACTCTTACATGAAGTCTACAATAGAAGTCTACTATGTTAGTCAATGCATTGGTCAAATGCTAAAGTAACTTTTTTTTCCTGAAGTCTACTCCTGAAGTCTACTGAAGGAAAAGTCAACAGATTGGTCAATTGCAAAAATGACCTTTTTTTTAGTAGACTTCAGTAGTAGACTTCTCAATGAAAAAATAGACTTCTCCTCCAGTCTACATTTGAAGTCTAATATAGAAGTCTACTTTCCTATGTTTTTTTAAAAACGCGTTTTAAGCAAATGTATAAACTATTTTTCAAAATTTTTGGTTCAGAATTGCTTCTTAGTAAGTGATTGAACTACCCAGTGAATTTTATCTCATTTCATTGGATATTTATTGTTGAATCGGAAGTTTCGATTTTTAAGGTACTTAGCTTATAAAAGTAGACTTCGTCGTGAAGTCTACATTCGACGTCTGCATTAGAAGTCTACGTTTTGACGTTTTAGTAAAAACGTGTTTTAAGGAAATTTATAAAGTATTTTTCAATTTTTTGGTTTATATTTGTTTCTTAGTTAGTGATTGAACTACCTAGTGATTTTTATTCCGTTTCATTGGATATTTATTGTTGAATCAGAAGTTTCGATTTTTAAGGTTATTAGCTTATCAAAGTAGACTTCGTGAAGTCTACTTTGATACAAAAAGTCTCTATGCAGTGTTTTTGCTAATATGGTTTATATGGTTATTTTTTCAGAGAATGGCTCAAATTTCAGTTGTGTACGGTGAGTGGAAGATTAAGGAGAATGCATGGCATTTTGTTGTTGACATGGGCAAAGGTGGAAGAATGTGGTTTTTGAACGATGGTTGCACCTTTGGGAAACTTACTGAAAATGGTGCGAGATGATTATAACTTGGGCAAGAAGACTGAGATCATCGAGTTAACCTACGCACTACCAGTCTCAATGTTGCAAACTATGGCTCCAGATACACCTCCAATGCATGTCACCAATGATAGACAAGTTTCAAGCTTGATTGCGTTAAGCAGAGTACATATGTTACGCCTTTGTGTGTCTTGTCGAGTGGAGATGGATACTGAGGAGAACCAGGAAGGATCAGATGAAGATTTAGGTGAGGAGTCTGAGGAAAATTCAGAACATTCGACCGATGATGAGGCAGACAGTTCTGATGTGAACGAGGATGGAGAAGATGTCGACGATGCAGCTTACTCTGACGGAGAAGATTACAGTGTCTACGGTAAAGTGAAAGATGAAGATGATGATGAAGATGAAGTCTGTATTGAAAAGTTCAGAAACCGATATGGTGAAACAGGGAGCACGCCCATGTCATGGTCTGAAAATATATATGTTAGGGCAAGTTTCCCTACAAAAGAGAAGTTGTTATCAGAGGTTAGACTGACTGCCATAATGTTAAAATTTGCTTTTAAAACACAGAAGTCTACCAAGACCCTATTTGTGGCTAAATGTTGAGTGGAAGGATGTGCATGGATGGTTAGAGCGAGCGTGAAGAATGATGCATCCACTTTTTGGGTGAAAAAATATGTGAAAGACCTCAAGAACGGGTTGGAAATATTTGTGTATCAGGCTACAAATATGGAGAGAACGAAAGATAGCGGTAAGATGTTTTGTCCTTGTTTGAAATGCAAGAATACGAGGTATACACTAACCAAAACCGTGTGGACGCTTTTATTAAATAGAGGGTTTATGCCGCAATATTTTGTTTGGTATCTACATGGAGAAGGATATGGCAGTAATACTCATGGGAATGCTGGTAGTATTAGTAATTATCAAAGTCATGTTGATTTTGATGAATCGAATTATGGTCATCAGCCTAATCAGTATCAATCTGATCAAAGTCTAGATCATGATAGGACGCATGAGATGGTGGCTGATGCATTTCATGAAACGCATACTGGTAATGCTGTTGAGGAACCTAATGTAGATGCCAAACGATTTTATGATTTGTTAGACAATGCTAATCAGCCAATCTACGAAGGATGTAGAGAAAGCCTGTCTAAATTATCGTTGGCAGCTAGGATAATGTCAATTAAAACAGATCATAACCTGGCAGAGGTTTGCATGGATGATTGGGCTGATCTTCTGAAAGAGTATCTACCGGAGGATAACTTGGCAGTGGCAACATACTATGAAATACAGAAGTTGATTTTTAGTCTTGGTCTACCTTCTGAGACGATAGATGTATGTGTTGACAATTGTATGATTTTTTGGAAAGATGATGATCAGCTGGAGGAATGTCGATTTTTCCAAAAACCAAGATACATACCGCAAACTGGTGGGCGTAAAAGGATACCGTACCAACGTATGTGGTATCTCCCTATAACTGATAGGTTAAAACGGCTTTATCAATCTGAAAGGACAGCTGCATCAATGAAATGGCATGCGGAACATACACAAGTAGATGGAGAAGTTGTTCATCCATCAGATGCAAAGGCATGGAAACACTTCAATATGGTATACCCAGATTTTGCTAAGTTCAAACGGAATGTCTATCTTGGTCTGTGCACTGATGGTTTTAGTCCATTTGGTATGTCTGGTAGACAATATTCATTATGGCCAGTAATCCTAACTCCTTATAACCTTCCTCCAGATTTGTGCATGCAAAGGGAATTTCTTTTCCTAAGTTTTTTGGTTCCAGGTCCCAATCATCCGGAGCGAGTTCTCGATGTATTTCTGCAGCCTCTCATACATGAGTTGAATCAGTTATGGTATACCGGCGTTCGCACATATGACTGTTCTACGGGAAAAAATTTTACTATGCGGGCTGTGCTTATGTGGACAATAAACGATTTCCCCGCTTATGGTATGCTATCAGGATGGACTACACATGGGAGGTTATCTTGTCCTTATTGTCTTCATTGAACTGATGCGTTTCAGCTAAAACATGGTAGAAAAACTTGTTGGTTTGATTGTCACCGGAGGTTTTTACCGGATAACCATCTATATCGAAGGAACAAGAGATTATTTATGAAGAACAAAAGTGTACATGTCCCTCCACCCGTAAATTTAACAGGAGCTGATATACATGCGCAAATCAAGCATTGGGGGGCAGAGGAAACAGTAACGCGTGGGGGAAACTGGCACACTCCTGCAAATATGCTTGAAGGTTATGGAGTTCATCATAATTGGCACAAGAAAAGTATCTTTTGGCAACTACCCTATTGGAAATATCATCTGCTCAGACATAATCTTGATGTCATGCACATTGAAAAAAACTTTTTTTATAACATCATGCATACAATTATGAATGTAGCGGGAAGAACAAAAGACAATGGTAAGTCAAGATTAGACTTGCCTGATTTATGCAACAGAAGTGAGTTTCATATACTGAGAAACGGGAAAGCACCAGTTCCTGTATTTCGGTTGAGTGCAGATCAAAAGTCAGCATTGTTCAGATGGGTTTCTTCTGACGTTAAATTTCCTGATGGGTATGTTTCTAGTCTTTCTAAATCTGTTGAGAAGAGGGTAA